GTGTGTAGAATCACTGGACAGACGAATGAACAGATGGACATAGAAACAAAGAGATGCAGGTTAGTAAATAAAGTAACAATTTTAACGTCAATAAAATTCTAATTTAAGTAAACCAACGTTTTTAACTTATATAAAACAATAGTTTTAACAGATTTCTACGTCTAGCTTAGTGAATGTGTGCCTGGGAAAAGGATTAAGTTTTAAGTTCATGGACACAGAATGAGAAACAGAACAGAGAGAGAGAGAGAGAGAGAGAGAGAGAGAGAGAGAGAGAGAGAGAGAGAGAGAGAGAGGAGAGAGAGAGAGAGAGAGAGAGAGAGAGAGAGAGAGAGAGAGAGGAGGGGGGGGAGAGAGAAGAGGGAGGGAGAGAGAGAGAGAGAGAGAGAGAGAGAGAGAGAGAGAGAGAGAGAGAGAGAGAGAGAGAGAGAGAGAGAGAGAGAGAGAGAGAAGAGAGACAGACAGAAAGAGATAGACAAATATGCATATACTGCACACACACAAACAAATACATACACACATATATACCCATACAAACACACACATACACGTGACTCACACGCACCCCCCTCCCCCAAACACACACACACACGCACACATAAATGCACACTCAACCCCCCCCCCCAACTCCATACACACACACACACACAAACACAGAGGCACATGCACACATAAATGCACACTCACCCCCCTCCATACACACACCCACACGCACACACATACACAATCCCCCCTCCATATGCACACACACATAAATGCACACTCAACCCCCCCCCCTCCACACACTACACACACACACATATAGAGTACACACACAGACACACACCACACACGCACACACATACACACTCAATACACACACAGAGGCACACGCACACACATAAATACCACTGCCAAACCCCCCCCTTACACACACAGAGCACACACACACATACACACTCAACCCTATTGCAGATATACTGCAACAAACATTTAAAAAAAAAAAAACAACACGAGACGCCTTTGACATTCATCCCCTTTTTATATAATTTTAAAACATTTTACTTTTTAATTACTTGATATTTACTTTTTATTTAATTTATATTATTTTAAATTTTATTACTTGATATTTACTTTTATTTAATTTACTTTAAAACATTTTACTTTTTATTTCTTACTGAGATCAACGTACTGGTTGTCAAGGCTGCGGTAAAATACAATTTCTTCCTCTTATTATTATATTCTGACTTCCTGTCCATTCAGCAAATCATTTAATCCATTTATTCATCTATTTCATTTTAGAATTATTATTATTATGATTATGATATTTTTTTTTTACATTTCAGAATAATTTGACGTGGAGAGGCGTGTTCATGGAAAGGGGGACGAGTAGGGGGAGGAAGAGGAGTGGGGGTAGGAGGACGAGCAGGGGTAGGGGAAAGGAGGAGGGAAGGGGAGGGGTAGAGGACGAGCAGGGGTAGGGGAAAGGGGGGAGGGAAGGGGGTGGGTAGGAGGACGAGCAGGTGGAAAGGGGGTAGGAAAGGGGGTAGGGGAAAGGGGTGGGTAGGGGGAGACGAGCAGGGGTAGGGAAATGGGGGGAGGGGAAGGGGGAGTAGGGGTGGTTAATTCTGAGAGAAATCATTGGCGAATTTGAATCGAATCTCCGATGGTGGACACGAAATATAAAGGGTTAGTGAAGGTTTGCCATGTAAGAGGAGGGATTATCACCTCTCTTCTCTCTCTTTCTTTCTTTTTCTATTTTTCTGTGTCTCTTCCAATCTTTTTTCCATTTTCTCTTTTGCTCCCAACCTACCCCTCTCTTCTTTTTTTCCCTCTCTCTCTCCCTGTTCTCCCTTTCTCTATTCTTTTCTCTTCCTTCTTTCAATCTCTCTCTCTCTCTCTCCTCCCTCCTTCCCTCCAATTCCTCTCTCTCTCTCTTCACTCTCTTCTTTCTTCTCTTTCTCTCCTCTCTCCCTCCCACTCTTTCTCCTTCTCTCCCTTCCTCTATCTCTATCAATGGCTCCTTTACTCTATCGACGCTTAATCATTTTCAATTATGAATGTACCGTGGCCTTTACGTGTTCGTGTGTGTACGTATTAATCGGTGCACTCGTGTACGTTTATGCATATTCTATTATTGTTCAAGGTTCTAGGAGTTAACATGACTGAGTTTATTAGCAAATACGTTCATGTAAGCACTTGCTTGCCAAGAATGAAAGATATTCATTAAAAAAGAGAAATAGAGAGATGGGAATTTTTATATTATGATGATTATGATTAGTATTAGTTTTAATTTTGATATTTGTATTATCATCATGATTAGTAAAAAGATGAAAATCATGATATCAGAATGAAAGATTATACATTAAAAAGAAAGGGGAGAGGGGAAAAGAATTGAAAATTGGAAGAGAAAAAAAGAAAGAAAGAAAGAAGAGAAGAGAGAGAGAGAGATCGCACACACATATACTAGTATGTATATATTATTTATGAGAGAAAAGAAAAAAAGAAAGAAAAAAAATGCACACACTCACACATATACAAGTATGTATGCATGTATGTATGCATTTATGGATAATATATAGGTTCACCTTTATATAGCAGCAGAGGGGGAGATAGAAGGAAAAAAATAAATTAAAAAGAAAGACAGATATGGAAAAAAATGGAAACTGGAACGAAAGAAGATCACACATTAAAAAGAAAGATAGGGAGAGGGAAAGAAGAGAGAGAAGAGAGAGAGAGAGAGAGAAAGAGAGAGAGAGAGAGAGAGAGAGAGAGAGAGAGAGAGAGAGAGAGAGAGAAGAGAGAGAGAGGAGAGGAACGCACACACATATACTAGTATGTATATATGTATTTATGGATAACGCATAACTTCACCTTTATATAGCAGTAGAGGCGACGATAGAAGGAAAAAGGAGGATCTAAACTAAAATCAACTTCACCTACTTATACACGTGCCCATTTTTATTTATTTTAAGAAGAAAAAAAGGAAAATCCAAAATTTCGGAAGCTGCTGCCATACAAGCCAATTATCATCTCTGTCCCTCTTCCCTCATCCCGAAATCCCCTCCCCCCCCCCTCTTCGAATTCTTTCTCCCAAGAATATTTCGAAAAGTAAACGCTCGGAATGACAAAAGACGGTCGATTCCTCTCCGTCTATGCTATTGTGTTGTTCAAGGGGGATTCGATCGTCTTTCCCGCCCAAGAGCTTTGGAATCGGATCCTCCAAAAATGGCGCGCGTTCTGAGACACTCTTGAGGGTGGTCTTCTCTTAGATCGTTTATTGTCTGGTTGTTATTACGCATCTTTTGTTGTTATCATAATTTTATTTTTCTAAAGATGAGATTTGGATGTATTGATAAGAGATTCTTTAAAAATTATCTTCATTTTCTGTAAAAAGCTTTAAAATGTCGAAAAAATTATCTTCATTTTCTGTAAAAAGCTTTAAAATGTCGAAAATAATTCACTAAAAGATTTATAATAAATCTTCGCTATTTAATGTTTAGGAACTACATAAATAGCATCTTTAATTTTCTTTATATCTATAGTATATTCATCATAACTATACGAAGTACCATAACTATAAAACATCATAACCACACTAAATATAACGCAAATCAACAGACACGTAATAATATTAATAATAATAATAGTTATAATGATAATAAAGATTATAACAGAAATAATAATAAGCTTCGTTTTTTTAAAAATTGCTTTTCTTCATTTCTGGTTTTTCATCGGTTATGTGATCTTAATTTCGCATCTCCTGTTAAACTATAAATCACAACATGGACTTCAACATTCCATCATTAAATAACCCCTTTCTGTGGTATTTTAATCGACGTACACCCATTTTTTCTGTATTCTTTAAAATCGTATTTCTATTTTCGTGCATTCTCCCATTTCTCCATCTTTTTATTGACCTACCATACTTTTTTCCCCCCCCCATGCCCTAGAAAACTACCATGACCCCTCAACATGGACTGTAACATTTCATCAGTATATAACCCCTTTTCACCTTTTTCTGTATTCTTTAAAATCGTTTTTCTATTTTCATGCATTCCCCATTTCATCTTTTTTTTGACTATACCATACTCCCCCCCCCCCCATGCCCTAGAAAACTACCATGATGCCCTCAATTTGACTGTAATATTCTTAAGTAATAACCCCTTTTTATGGTATTTTCATCGACTTAAACCCTTTTTTGTATTCTTTTAAAAATCATTATTTATTTTCTATTACGTGCATTCTCCCATCCCCCCCCATGCCCCTAGAAACCTACCATGATGCCCTCAACTTGGACTGTAACATTCCATCAGTATATAACCCCATTCTATGGTATTTTCATCGACTTAAACCCTTTTTTCTGTATTTTTTTCAAAATCGTATTTCTATTTTCGTGCATTCTCCCATCTTCTCCATCTTTTTATTGACCTACCATACTTTTTTCCTCCCCCCATGCCCTTAGAAACCTACCATGATGCCCTCAACAGATTTACACCCTTTTTTTCTGTATGTTAAATCTTATTCTGACGTGCCATGCATCTTTTACTGACCTACCATACTTTTTCCTCCCCCGCCATGCCCACTACCAAGCCCTCAACAGACTTTGACCATTTTTTCTGTATTTCTTAAATCGCATTTCTCTTTACGTGCATTCCGACCTACGCCCCTAGAAAACTACCATCCCTCAACAGAGCGCATGCATGACCCTTATAATTTTTTTCATCCATGCCCTTAGAAACTGCACTCAACATGACTGTAAATTTCGATCGTTTTACTTTCAACATTCCTCTCTCGGTATGCCTGAAACCTACCCATTCTATGGACAAACCCTTTTTTCTGCCACCTGCCCTACCTGATGCCCGGACTGCAGGTACACGTAATTCCCTACGCATTAGAAACCTACCATGATGCCCTCAACTTGGACCAACATTCCATCAGTATATATCCAATTCTATGTATTTTCAGACTCCCTTTTTATTGACCTACCATACTTTTTTTCCCCCGCCATGCCCCTAGAAACC